ATGTACACATTCAATGAACCATGGATACATGTCCTCCTCATTTCCAAGTAAGATCAATTCGATTAACTGTTTTAGAAGTGTGTACCACAAAACGTGTTTCTTGAGGCATTGGCTTTAGCTTGAACGAAAGGCGACACAGATAGGCCGATGATTATTTTCTTGTCGTAGGTCACAAATACAGGCACACATTAACAGACCTTGACAATGGGAGATGCAATGTAGTGAATTTCTACTTACAAGATATACCCAAAGGACCGTCCTCGTGCTCTTCCTTGGCTGAAAGGAGAAAACTAATGTGAGATGTATGGCAACATATGTGTCTGTAACAAGCCACAATATTCCATCTATATCACCGTGGGCAAGATAAATCAGTGATAAATATTCGGATTTGTTGTTGTTTGCTTGTTGTTTAACGCCGCACTCAGCAATATTCCAGCTATATGACGGCGGTCTATCATGAGCATCGGTCCACGCAATTGGGATCGATGACATGCATCAACCAAGTCAGCGAGCGTGACCACTCGATCCCGTTAGTCGCCTTTTACGACAAGCATAGTCACCTTTTACGGCAAGTATGGGTTTCTGAAGACTTATTCTATCCCGGAATCTTCACGGGTCAATAAATATTTGGAGCAAAATGTTTCACGCCGCCGGACTATCAGATCTATTTAGTCACCCGTTTCAACAAACAGATGTCACTGGGGACCCATTTTTCCCCCGAATCCCGAAAGTTAAAAAAGACGAGAAAGAAGTATATTCTAAAAAAAAGTAGGGGATAATGAAATTCAAATATTATTTTCAGAAGAAATATCAGCTTTGAAACGACTGCCAGAAATTCTAACGCTAGAGCACACCAGAAACATGGTTCCCCTTGCACGTGGGAAGGGGGGGGGGGGGGGGGGGGGGGGGGTGCATTCTTGACTTTCACACACACACACACACACACACACACACACACACACACACACCTTGACATGTTAAATCGGTATGAGTTATTAATATTGTTGATTGTCATTTTTTTATCCACAGTAATACGTAAACTCTCCACTCTTCCTTCAATGCAATACTTTTGATCAGATTGGGAACCCCTCGTCTATAACGTATTGGTATACTTCAAACTTGTAGAACTCAACGAGAGGTAGCCAATATGTTCAGTGTGAGTCTGTGATTTGCAGACTTTGGGACAGGTTCTGTAGAAACAAAAATATATCAATTGGCTCCGCATGATTTGGCAACTCAAGTCCAGGGTCGATTAATCAGAAACAAGGCTTTAAGAAATCACGCCTAAACAGCTAATCAAATCGCTAATCACTTGCGACACGACTAGAGTTGCTGACACACGGGTGGCCCAGTCGTCTAAGGCGCCGCAATTCGCTGTGCAGAGTTGCGTCCCTTGGTCACGCCAGAAATCTATGATTGTGGGTTCGAATCCCGGTTCACCCCGATTATGTTTCTGGGTTTGTCAGCAGCATACCCGTGCTCGTGGGCTTCACCGAAGTGGTTAACGTCTGAGACCTGCATCACTTCGGGCTTTCCTCCCACATCAAGCTGACACGCCGTGATATAACTGGAATACTGTTAAAGGCGGCGTTAAGCCCAACTCACTCACTCACTCACTCACTCACTCATTGGGCATAGATGATGTAACAAACTGTTGCACCAGAAGAAAAAAAATCACGTAAAAAAAAAGATTTTTCAAATGTTATAACCATTTTAACCGTTTCTAGCCTCTCCTCGAAAACATCGTGTTGTTGTGTATCTAAATCCGTTTACTTGTTTTTGTTTTTCTAGGACTAAAATCTTTTCAACCATACAAGTAGATGAATCACTTGCTTACTCATTTTTACAGCTTCAGCCATTTCCATTTCGTTTTTAAGACGTGCAGATATCTGTTGGCAACAACATTTTCATAAACAAACAAATACCAAAATATATCAATCAGCACATCAATAATCCGTTCAAAAAATAAACGCTTCAGATGAAAGATATTTAAATGTGCCCTGTGAGTATTAAGTATCTGTGCATGGAACATAAATTGCCTAACTTAAATGCAGATAATCCAGACAGGTATCATTTTCTTGTGAAATTTGACGTTTTCTGCATTAATGAAACAATGATATATAATACTGCTAAAATTATTAATCGGTTTTCGATTTTGTATGTCTTAGAGTGCCAGCAACTATGATAAATGTAATAGTACTGATATGCGATCAGTAGAGATAACAGACGATGAAGTTTCGAAAAAAATCTTAAATCTTGCAAATCATCCGGGAAAGATGGCGGACCTGCTCACAGTTTCTTAAGCATTCAAAAGACCATACCTAAACATATATAATACAATCTTGACCACTGGCATTTTTCCAGATGCGTCGAATATTGGTTTATTTTTTACCCACATCCAAATCTAGCGACCCCAAACTTCCGAATGATTATACGGGTATGTCTCTTTTGAGCGTTACGGGGAAAATATTCACATCCATTAATGAAGAAAGATAACGAATATGGACCGAATTAAACGAGATTCTATCAGAATCGCAAGCAGGCTTGAGAGAAGATCACTCAACAGCAGACAATATGTTTGTGCTTCATGCCCTCTGCCTCTAATATCGTTTTTATGCTTCCTACATAGATTTTTAAAAAGGCTTTTGACTATGTCGATAGAAAGAAACTTTTATATATTCTCTTACAAAAAAAACCTTCAAAGAGAAATGTTTAATTTAATTCAAAACATATATGAAAATGTTAGTGCTTGTGAAAAAGTAGTTTCCAGCGACGTTCGGCAAAGGCATATGTAAAGTAAGTTACTGATAGAGTTTATAAGAGTCATTGTTGACAAATCAAATAATGTTTTCCGAAATGGTGGGTACTTAAAGAAATTTGAGAAATGGTTTTATAATGAAAAAGAGATAACAGTTACTTCACATTATAAGTATTTAGGAATTATTAGGTTAATTTGGTCACAGACGCGTGAAAGTCTTGCTACACAAGCAAGAAAAGCATGTTCCACTATCTTAAAATTAATGAAGCATTTTCCGAGTATATCTTTTGAAACGACTCTTACAATAGTAGGTTTGTGAAGACCCGTGAAGATCCGGGGTGGAATAGATCTTCAGCAACCCATACTTGCCGTAAAAGGTGACTATGCTTGTCGTAAAAGGCGACTAACGGGATCGGGTGGTCAGACTCGCTGACTTGGTTGATGCATGTCATCGATCTCAATTGCGTGGATCGATGCTCATGATATTCATCACTGGATTGTCTGGTCCAGACTCGATTATTTACAGACCGCCGTCATATAGCTGGAATATTGCTGAGTGCGGCGTTAAACAACAAACCAACCAACGAATTGCACAGATTTTATATTACGGAGTGAAATTTGGGAACATTCTAATCGGGAAACTACCGAAAATGTTCAAAGGATATGTTTTAAAAGATTTCTTTAAATAAGCAAATACTGTTCTACAAATGCCGTTCTGGGAGAAGTGGACAGGCATTATTTATATGCGCACTATTTCAGTACATGTATACGCTATTGGTGTAGAATAATTCGTATGCACCCAAATGGGTATACCCTTGCTACACGACACTCGTACTTATATATTATGATCAAGATGGTATAAACTGGGTTTCTCACGTTAGAACTATGTTGTTGCAGACAGGCTTTGACAATGTTTGGATTGCCCAAGAGTGTGGCGATATTAAACAGTTTCGTTGTATGTTCAAAAAACGATGTACAAATATAGAAATGCAAAACTGGTATAAATTCTTTTGGCAATTCATCATTTCTTTCTGATTATAATTCCTGTAAGAAATGGCTTGCTCCAGGGCCGGTATTCATAAAAACTATCAGAGTTTCTCTAAGAGTTACTCCTAACTCCTAAAAGTTACTCCTAACTCCTAAGAGTTACTCTAAAAGTTCTCCTAAGAGTCAACGAACTCTTAACATATAGGAAAACTCTTAGAGCAACTCCTATCTCGTAACTAGGGAATTCCCAAGTTATTTTTAGTAACGAAAGTGTAATTATTGTCTAAAATCCGGACGATCAGGGTAATTCCCGGTGACACTGAATTGTCAATTGTGTTTTTTGTCATAACAGTGATTTTTTTTCCAATGTTAAATAAATATATGTTATTTGTATCATATGTTTGTTGTTTTTTCTGCACATTTCGAATGCATAATTGTCTGTGACAAGATCTGACATAAAATATTACCGGCACCGAGATCGTCTCGTGTATCACCGGCACTAATTTCACAACAAATGCTATATTGTTAACAAACCAATTCCAATCTTATTATATCTATCGCATGTTTATTTTTTTATGATTCAATTTACTAGTTGTATCGGCATTTCATTAATGTTAATAAAATTTAATAAAATATATTTTTTTGTCTTTTGCTGGTACAACTAATAGAAGCCAACAAGGCTACAATTAAGGGGAAATTTGGGCCCAATCTTTCTTCTGATGATAATAAGAAATGTTGGGATGATATAATCAACCAAATCAATCGTGCACATCCCAGATCTTTGGAGAACAAAAGAACCACAGATGACATTATGAAGAAGTGGTGGCTTCTCCAGTCTAACAGTGGAGAGGGGATAGCCACCAAGAGAAACCAGCTCACTGGTACAGGTACAAATAATTCATTTTAATAGTAAAAATGGAATTGCAATAATAAATTGATAATACATGTATATTTAATACAGCAATTTAATTCCTTGGATTACAGAGTTTCATTTGTCTTTGGGGAAAAATGTATGAATTGTTCCCTAGAAGTTAAAATTTTGCTATGAATTTCTGTTAAGTAAAAGATGTTGCCATAAAATGAAAAATGGCTCTGAATCTATGTATTTATACTCTCCAATCAAAATCAAAATTGTTTTCTTTTTTTCTCTTACTGCCTTGAAAATGATGAAAATAACCCATAATCCAAGTACATAAATTGATGATCATGCCTAAGGAAAAAAATATTTACAATTTATTTTGTTATTAAAATTTCATTTATTTCATATCTATAATGTGAAGAATGACATTCCAATTTGATTCCAGAATAATATAAACATGCTGCATAAATACTACATCCCAGTGGAAGAAGAATAACTTTAGCATATATATCATGATATTAAATTTAAAACAGTATCAACAGCATCAAATTTGAATAACTTGGGTATATTGATGACTATAACAACAGATATAGATTTACACACTGTACATATACAAAATCAATATAGGAAAAAGGATACAAAGTTCAATTGATAAGATATGAAAGAACGACAAAATTCATTTAATTATTTACAGGTAGTTGTCCGGCTGGACCTGAATTGTCGACAGTTGCCGAGGTTGTTCAAAACATTCTGGGACGTGATAACACTACCATAAGTGGATTGGATGGCTTTGATTCATTCCCTGAAAATGCCAGTACAACAAGGTACCCTACATAAAAAATATGTACTATACTGCTATTCACAATTCACAATTAAAAATGTGTTAAATATATTTGGTCAATATAAGAACTGTCATTGAACTATCATTGTTATGACCAGCAATCTCAAATTAATGAATGTACTTAGTTAATATTAACAAAAAGTGTCAACGGTTTTACATACAATATTATCTATTCACACAAAAGGATTCCCCCCTTAAATGATACATCAACACACACTATCAAATTTGTTTCAGCGCTCCGGAGTCTTGGTCCTCATACCAGAACCCGATCAACTTCACACCCTTGGCCAGCACCAGCACCAGCAACACCAGCAGCAGCAACACCAGCACCAGCACCAGCAGTTGTGTGCTGGATGACTACATTCCTCTTAAATTTCCCACACCTGTTCAGGTGCTCAGCCCTTCAGAAGTCTCACTAAGGGAAAAGAGAGAAAAATTAGAAATCGAAGTGCTTGAACTCCAGAAGGAGTATTACAGTATCAAAATAAAGAAATTTAAAAACCAAATAACTGATATGGTATTTTACACAAGGTTACAGGTCAAAGCATGGTTCTTTGATAAATTGTTATAGTTAATTTATTGATTTTACAAGTTTTAAGGTTGCAACATTGATATTTCATAACCCATTGAAATAAGTCACACTTGGTACCGTATTAATATTAATTATTGATGTAACTAGATGTTGCAATTAGAAAAGATGGACTATTGATAATCAATACCATCATGACTCTCACACTAATGAAGAACATGTTTATTCCATCCAATGTAAGGAATCAGTCAACATGACAATGGACAATGGAAACAACAAAATTCCAGTCCGGGAACTGAACTTTGCTGGAAAATTAGTCCCATATGTGATAGACTCTGGCGCAGCTGAAAACATGCTTGACCAACCAACATATGATGCCCTCAGACAGGAAGGGCACATAATTGGAAATCTTAGAGACTCCAAGAGTCATTTTTTCGCATTTGGATCACAAGACCCACTGTATGTGGTTGGGAAGACCGTTCTACCTGCTCAGTATGGAAACATAAAACAGGACTGAATTTTATGTGGTATCAGGTCGATGTGGCAATCTTTTGAGTTATCAATCTGGTGAATCGTTGGGTATCATTCATATCGCCAGAAATGTGAAATCATCTGAGATGGAAGACATTATTTGTGATTTTCCAGAACAGTTCAATGGAATTGGCAAAATTAGGAACAAACAGATAAAACTACATGTTGACAAATCAGTACAACCAGTCCGGCAACCACACAGGTGAATCCCATTCCAGATACGGAAAGACATGGAGGAAGAACTGAAAAGATTAGAAGATCTGGACATCATAGAGCCAGTACCGAATGAGCCCACTCCATGGGTCAGTCCCATCGTTGCAGTACCTAAGAAGTCGTCAGGCATCCGCGTATGCGTTGACATGCGTGAGGTCAACAAGTGTATTCGACGTGAAAATCACATTTCACCAACTATTGATAACCTCATCTCAGAATTATATGGATCGACAGTCTTCTCCAAGCTAGACTTGAATGCAGGATGCCATCAGTTGGAGTTGAGCCCAGAAAGTCGCTATCTGACCACATTTAGCACCCATGCAGGACTCAGACGATACAAACGCCTCTCCTTTGGTATAAATTCTGCTTCAGAAATATTCCAGAATGTCATTTCAGAAGATACTCAAGGGATTCCCGGATGTAGAAACAACCAAGATGACATAATCGTTCATGGTGCTACTCAGAAGAAGCATGATCAAACTCTTCATGCTGTATTCACAAGACTCCGTGAACATGGCATCAACCTAAACAAGTCTAAATGCGAGTACTCAAGTTGTTAGCTATGCCAGCCGTGCGTTATCTGATGTTGAGTCCCGTTATTCCCAAACAGAACGAGAAATGTTGGAAGTCATATGGGCAGCTGAACACTATCACCTGTATACATTCTGGAAGAAGTTCCAGATCATCACAGACCACAAACCGCTTCTCAGAATCTTTAAAAAGCCGAAAACCAACTTCGGCCAGAATAGAGAGGTGGCGCATCCGACACACGCCATACAAGTATGAACTTGCCTACCAACCGGGTCGTGACGAAAACAACCCAGAAGATTACATAAGTCATCATCCACCCCAGGTTTCATCATTACCTAACATAGCAGAAGACTATGTAAACTACGTTACCATGAATGCAGTACCCAAGGCTCTCAAGTTCGAGGAAATTCAAGCAGCTACAAAGCTGGATCCAGTACTCCAAAAGGTGATCATTGCAGTAGCAGACAACTGGGTGGATCCTGAACTTGAACCATTCGTACGATTCATGGAATATGCTGTATACAACGGAACAGTCTTGAGAGACCACAGGATTGTGATCCCCCAAATTCTACAGCATCGGGCAGTTGATCTTGCGCATCAGGGGCATCAAGGAATGGTAAAGACCAAGAGGCTCCTACGTGAAAAGGTATGTTTTCCTGGTATAGATCATCTAGTTGAAGACAAGATCAAGCGCTGCATCGCATGTCAGTCAACTATCGACACTCCTGTTCACAGAGAACCACTCAAAATGACAATTCTTCCATCATCTCCATGGGAAAATGTGTCGATCGACTTCTCAGGACCTTATCTGTCTGGAGAATGCTTGCTAGTGGTTGTAGATGATTATAGTCGATATCCAGAAGTGGAATTCGTTCGATCTACATCAGCAAAATCTGTCCAAAGCTTGATGCAATATTCTCGAGGCAAGGAATACCTCGAATTGTGAAATCAGACAATGGTCCACCATTCAACAGTAAGGAGTTTACACAGTTTGCAAATTACCTTGGATTTCAGCATCGCAAACATCAGATGAAGTTCAAAGAGAACATATTTCTCCTACTTCCATCCTGAAACTACCAAACAGACGTTCTACCAGATCCATCACTTTGCCAGTTCGATTCCGGGACTACAAAATGATACATTATATCCAGAAACATAAGTGATGTAAAATCACAAATGTACACATGAAGTGTGATCTCTATATCAGAACTATAAAGTGTTTTTGAACATATTATGATAATCAAAGATATATTCTATCCGGAGCATAAAGATTGAACATAAAAGTTGACAACAGTTGATTTATACTTCCACTGGTTAGTTCATGTAAACGTGGTCTAGTTCCTTTATTGATTAGTATGCAGATAGAATACATTTTGTATATTCTTCAATTTCTTACATAAGATTTGATGTTTGTTCAATATTCAGCAAAGTAATCATTTATGTAAGTGTTAAGGACGGTATTTGAGGTTGTTCATCATTTTAGAAGTTTAAGTTAATATTGTGATTTATATAATCTGATAGGATTGTTTTTAAGATAATATTCATCTTGGCAATCATGATATCTGGCTTAACAAGTAAGTTTTTTTTTTATATCTATAGATTATTACTTATCAGTTGTATGTTGCCCTACTTTGTAATGTAAAGTTAAGGAGGATTGTAGTGTATATGCAATCAAGGTTTATAATTGTATGCATATGTATGGGTCAGAGGTCAGGGTCTCGTTTTGGGATTGACCATGTGCGAGCCAGTATCAATGGCGGCGTCCTGTATTCATTGCACTGACGATGAATAAAAGTCTTCGTTTCACTCCTTCAAGGATCATATCATTTATTAACAGAGCAAGGATCATTCAAGAACATTATGATAATCAGTAAGGTTATTTAACACATCTTTTCGAGCTCGAAATATACGGTTTCTACAATGTCGCAACTGCACGGCGGCGGCCATATTGGTACTCTAAGAGTTTACCTGAGTATATAAGAGTGCCAATGACCACTCCTAAAGATAGGAGTAACTTTTAGGAGTTAGGAGTAACTCTTAGGAGTTATGAGTGAACTCTTAGGAGTTTTGGCAGTTAGGAGTAAATTTCCAACTCTAAGAGATTTTTATAAATACGGACCCAGACTTGTATCTTTCATCACCTTTGATTGGAAAAGATTTGGCATATAATGTAACCAAATTTCGTATTCTTGTCCATAATCTAAAAGTATAAAAATGCGTTATAGCAAATTTGATGTTGACCAAAATATATTAATATGCCGAAACTGTGATTATATAGTTATCGAAGTTGAGTACTTTTTTCTTCTGGTTTTCCGTCATTATACAGAAAGTAGAAATAAATTTCTCCCTAATTATTACCACAACTATCCTCCCCGCCAAAAACTTAGTTAATTGAAATCTTCAACAAAAATAAACATTTTGAAAGGTATTTCCCTGTACTTAAATAAAACTTGTATAAATGAAAATACATACTCTATAATAATTGTTGTTGAAAAGTTATCCAGATACTGTAAACATTGTTTATATAAATTGTAATATTGGCCCTCCAATTCCGAAATAAAAAGGGAAAAAGATAATATACTTACGTAAACTAAGTATCATCGTCAATGCAAACCTACCAAGACATCTAATATTCACTGACAGCAACCGTCACAATTAATGAACATGTTCAATAGCTTATTGCTCGTATACACCTGTGATGCATTGCATATTACGCACATATACAAATAATTTTGATTTCTGTTTTAGTCATACAAAATTGGTTGGTTGGTTGGTTTGTTGTTTAACGCCGCACTTAGCAATATTCCAGCTGTATGACCAGACAATCCAGTGATTAATATCATTAACATCGATCGATGACATGTATCAACCAAGTCAGCGAGCCTGACCACCCGATCCCGTTAGTCGCCTTTTACGACAAGCATAGTCGCATTTTACGGCAAGTATGGGTTGTTGAAGACCTATTCTACCCCGGAATCTTCACGGGTATAGTCATACAAAGCAGTCATCCAAAATGTGTTTATCTGGAGAATGCATTAAACGTACCTGTTCCTCTTCTTGTTTGGCACGTTTCAGTTCTGCTATCTCCTTTCTCATCGCAATCATTTGATCATTCATATCTAGAAGACAATCACAGTAGCAATCATATGACTCTGAGCCTGTGAGTGCGAGTCTAGTATTGGCGCATTAAATTTTAAAGATCACATGTCAAACGTATTCATAACAATGATCCACTGCAAAAAGCATACGTTTTGTAATATATTTGTACATTTAATTGTTTCAGTCCCCCCACCTAGCTATGTATCACGATCGTCTCAGATTTAGCATCCCCTACCTTTGTACTCATTTTCAGCCATTTGTTTTCCCTCACTGAGAATTGCTGGTGTCTGTTGATGACAAGGCAGAATCATATTACTGAATCATACATTATATATACACGTTAAAACTAATCATTCTTTAATATATTGTGTTCGACTGGTATTATTTGACCTCCTTTTTTACTTGTATTTGACTCGTTTTCATAGAGCACCTGTCTTCAATCCACCCATGTCTATACTGTCTTTCTATCAAACTTGTACTTATTTGTGATATATCTTCGACATACAGGTATTTAGAAACCATCTGCATGTTTGTGCGGGTTATGCATGACTTTCGACAGCTTCATACAACCATGACCTGTCTTTTATAAGGTACTGTAAATTCCTCAATATAACTTGATTCAAGTACCAGTCATTATGAAGGCAGCACTCCTCACATTAAGTCATGCTTGAGTAGCTATACTGCATATGACAAGATAGACACAATTTTATGGATAACAACTTCTTTAATACTGTGAAAAGCGACGTTTCGGCATAGATCCTAATACCGTTGTCAAGCAAGACTGAATGAGGGTTCTTACTTATATTGGAGATTTAACGTGCGCTTTCCGACTGCAAGCGTATGTCGCACACAGGCCCGGCCAGGCCATTTAATGTTTTTCCGAAAAGGGGAAAAGTGAGTTTGTGCACCCCAGGAGGGGGCCTTAGGGGTTGCTTATATAGTAATTTCAAAATTTTGAGATTTGGAATGAATGCCAAGGGTTGGTGGAGGACGAGCTAAGGGAGCTGTGTGTGTTGGGTGGTTGTTACATTAGGTAGTTTTGGTTTTAATATTTTATTTGGGGTTTAAATGCGACTAATTAGTCCTGTTTTAATAAGGTATATGCCTTAGGCTTTGAATTTTTCTAATTTATTTTGTGGTTTTAGGATTGATTCTAGTGTAAGTGCGATTTTAAGATTTAGGGTGGTCTTTTTTTAGTACTTTCCTGATTTGGCTATTTGAGTTTTGGTATATATTTTGCCAATTAGTATTAATTTTTTTGTTTAGTGACACTTTTGGTTTCTGATTTTGAGCTGGGTAAGTTTAAGCTTATTTCTGGGAGTTTAAGGGATAATTTTGCTGCTTTATCTGCGTTTTCATTTCCAAAGATTCCTACGTGGGCGGGGATCCAAATGAACTCTATTGTTTACCTGCCTTAGTTAAGTTGTTTGAGCTTTTGAGTATTTGATTTATCAGTTTGGGGCGGTTTTTAGTGTTTTTATTTTTGAGGGCTTGTAGTCCAGTGAGGGAGTTGGTTGGGATGAGGACTTTTTGGTGTTTTTTAGATTGCTGATTGTGTAGTGCTGAGGCCATGCCCATGAGTTCGGCCGTGAATATGGATTGGTTGTTTGGGAGTCGGTAAATTGGGTGTAATGGTTGGTTGTGCGATGTGTACTCCGAAACCTGTGTGTTTTGAGATCGAATCTGAGGATCCATCTGTGTTTATGTGACACCAATTTGGCCAATTTTCGTGTATGTATGCTAGGTGGTGTGGTGGTTTTAGCGATGTTAGGATCGGTCTGTTTATTTAGCGTATCGGCTAGTGTTGTGTCTATTTTTGGTATTTTAAGTTTTGGAGTGAAGATATGGATGATTTATTGTTTTGTTTAAGATTATTTATTTTGTGTTCATTTAGGTAATTGGTTATTCTTTGGGAAATTGGAGTAAGTAGTGGATTTCTCCGGTCTAGGGCTGTGGTTTCCATGGCTAATATTGTTTTTTATTAAGTTTTCGATTAGAGGGTTTGATTGGGACGCGGCCCAGAAGTTTAGGGTAAGTTGTTCCCTACGTAGTTTAAGTGGCATTTCTCCTGTTAAGGCCTGGAGTGAGGTGGAGGAGGTGCCATGTTGAGTTCGTGTGATTAGTTTTACGGCCTGATACTGGATTGAGTATAGTTTTTTAATGAGAGCTGCCATAGTCTAGTTTGGATCTAATAAGTGATGTATAGAGTGAGAGGAGGGTGTTTTTAGAATTTGGTTTGTTTTTTAAATTTGATTGGTTTGTTGTTTCGTTGGAGGTTTTAGGGAGGAGGGTTGCATATTTTTGTGTTTAAATACCATTCCTGTGTTTTTTCTAAGTTTAGGGAGAAGCCCCATTCGTCAGCCCATTTTTGTATTTTATTTAGAGATTTTTGTATTAAGTTTTGGGCAACTTTAATGCTTTTAGTGCGGATCCAGGTCTCCATCATCCGCGAATTTTGATGTGTTTACTTTGGGGGATAGTCCCTCGAATAGATCGTTAATCATAATATTGAAGAGTGTCTGGCTTAGGATGCTGCCCTGGGGAGTGCCATTTTCTAGGGGACATTGGTCCGATAGCGTTTGGTCTATGCCCACGGTGATTTTGCGGTTTGTCAGGAAACCTTGGATGTAGTTAATTATTTGACCTTTAAGACCTATTTTTTTGTAGTTTTTGTATTAGCCCGTTATGCTAAACCATGTCGAACGCTTTGGAGAAGTCTAGAAAGATGCCTGTAGTATATTGTTTGTTAAGTTGGCTTGTTTAAATTACCTGCTCTAGCCGGGCGAGGTTATCTAAGGTTGAGCGTCCAGGAGTGACACCGCTTTGGTCATGATTTATTATGTTGTTTTGTTCTAAGTAGTGTTGTAGCCTGTATTTTGCCATCTATTCCATTACTTTGCATAAGTTAGAAGTTAGGGAGATTGGTCTGTAAAAATTAGCCTGGTCAGCTGGTTTATTGGGTTTGGGGATTGGTATGACAAGGGCTTGTTTCCAAGGTGATGGGACCTGTCCGTTTTGATATATGAGGTTATAGAGTTTTAGAAGAGTTTGGAGTAGTTTGAGTGGTAGTTGTTTAATTATCTGGTATGAAGTCGTGTATTGGTCAGAGGTCAGTGTCTCGTTTTGGGATTGACCATGTGCGAGCCAGTATCAATGGCGGCGTCCTGTATTCATTGCACTGACGATGAATAAAAGTCTTCGTTTCACTCCTTCAAGGATCATATCATTTATTAACAGAGCAAGGATCATTCAAGAACATTATGATAATCAGTAAGGTTATTTAACACATCTTTTCGAGCTCGAAATATACGGTTTCTACGATGTCGCAACTGCACGGCGGCGGCCATATTGGTACTCTAAGAGTTTACCTGAGTATATAAGAGTGCCAATGACCACTCCTAAAGATAGGAGTTACTTTAAGGAGTTAGGAGTAACTCTTAGGAGTTATGAGTGAACTCTTAGGAGTTTTGGCAGTTAGGAGTAAATTTCCAACTCTAAGAGATTTTTTATAAATACGGGCCCAGACTTGTATCTTACATCACCTTTGATTGGAAAAGATTTGGCATATAATGTAACCAAATTTCGTATTCTTGTCCATAATCTAAAAGTATAAAAATGCGTTATAGCAAATTTGATGTTGACCAAAATATATTAATATGCCGAAACTGTGATTATATAGTTATCGAAGTTGAGTACTTTTTTCTTCTGGTTTTCCGTCATTATACAGAAAGTAGAAATAAATTTCTCCCTAATTATTACCACAACTATCCTCCCCGCCAAAAACTTAGTTAATTGAAATCTTCAACAAAAATAAACATTTTGAAAGGTATTGCCCTGTACTTAAATAAAACTTGTATAAATGAAAATACATACTCTATAATAATTGTTGTTGAAAAGTTATCCAGATACTGTAAACATTGTTTATATAAATTGTAATATTGGCCCTCCAATTCCGAAATAAAATGGGAAAAAGATAATATACTTACGTAAACTAAGTATCATCGTCAATGCAAACCTACCAAGACATCTAATATTCACTGACAGCAACCGTCACAATTAATGAACATGTTCAATAGCTTATTGCTCGTATACGCCTGTGATGCATTGCATATACGCACATATAAGAATAATTTTGATTTCTGTTTTAGTCATACAAAGTTGGTTGGTTGGTTGGTTTGTTGTTTAACGCCGCAATATTCCAGCTATGTGACCAGACAATCCAGCGATTAATATCATGAACATCGATCGATGACATGTATCAACCAAGTCAGCGAGCCTGACCACCCGATCCCGTTAGTCGCCTTTTACGACAAGCATAGTCGCATTTCACGGCAAGTATGGGTTGTTGAAGACCTATTTTACCCCGGAATCTTCACGGGTATAGTCATACAAAGCAGTCATCAAAAATGTGTTTGTCTGGAGAATGCATTAAACGTACCTGTTCCTCTTCTTGTTTGGCACGTTTCAGTTCTGCTATCTCCTTTCTCATCGCAATCATTTGATCATTCATATCTAGAAGACAATCACAGTAGCAATCATATGACTCTGAGCCTGTGAGTGCGAGTCTAGTATAGGCGCATTAAATTTTAAAGGTCACATGTCAAACGTATTCATAACAATGATCCACTGCAAAAAGCATACGTTTTGTATTACATTTGTACATTTAATTGTTTCAGTCCCCCCAACCTAGATATGTATCACGATCGTCTCAGATTTAGCATCCCCTACCTTTGTACTCATTTTCAGCCATTTGTTTTCCCTCACTGAGAATTGCTGGTGTCTGTTGATGACAAGGCAGAATCATATTACTGAATCATACATTATATATACACGTTAAAACTAGACATTCTTTAATATATTGTGTTCAACTGGTATTATTTGACCTCCTTTTTTACTTGTATTTGACTCGTTTTCATAGAGCACCTGTCTTCAATCCACTCATGTCTATACTGTCTTTCTATCAAACTTGTACTTATTTGTGACATATCTTCGACATACAGGTATTTAGAAACCATCTGCATGTTTGTGCGGGTTATGCATGACTTTCGACAGCTTCATACAACCATGACCTGTCTTTTATAAGGTACTGTAAATTCCTCAATATAACTTGATTCAAGTACCAGTCATTATGAAGGCAGCACTCCTCACATTAAGTCATGCTTGAGTAGCTATACTGCATATGACAAGATAGACACAATTTTATGGATAACAACTTCTTTAAAGCGACGTTTCGGCATAGATCCTTATACCGTTGTCAAGCAGGACTGAAGGATAGAATAGTACAGAATATATATAGTAGGTGGAGGATTAACAGTAGAGGATTAACAGCAACAACAATTGCATACATGAGATGGGATAACATTGGTAGGTAGGTGACAACAAAAAGATGATGCTGTCACAACACGATGGACAGAGAACACATAGGTGGAAGCCAATAGGGACATGAAGCCTATACTGCATATATATTACAATTCAAAGTAGATCTAAATATGGTAATTTAGGGGCGGCAGCCTGGTAGCTCTTGTTATTTGTTGTGTCATTGATTGAATGACAGTTTTCCAGGGTTTAAGCATTGTAGACTACAATTTGGTCATCGCCGCTAAATATATCCCAAACATTTGATATGCCATTCTGTTAGCCTTAATATTTCCTTCAACATCTTCTACACACTGGTGGCAATGTATCATATTATTGGCATATTATGTGAACTCATATTGCAGATCGAGAAAAATCTATAATATTATTTATTGAAGATAATTCTAATCACTTTGAACTTATAGAAGTGGATTATATAGTCTCGCATACCTTCCAGTAACTTTAGTAGTATGTGTGATTTAAAATATAAAGTGAATCTAGAATACAATGCCAATCAATAAATTGTGCACATGCAACATAACATATGTCAAATAACGTCACTGAAAGCGATTTAAAAACTGAAAATCATCTCTGTGTCTCTGTGTTTGACCAGAGAATGTGTATACCTTTTCCGCTTCAAATATCTTATCTGACCATTAACAAGTGGCACCTTGCTATTGAAAGGTCTTCACAACGACTGGGGCATAATTGGATATAGCATTATATTTTGATAATGAGTCTGTCCTAATGACTTCACGAAACATGTGGAAAACGATGAAGTGAACTTCACTATGACACACGTATATATGAAGTTTACCTGTTCTTCACGTTTTTTGGCAAGTTCGAGGTCCTCAAAATCTTTCTCCATTGCGACATATATGTCATTCAGTTCTAGAAAATAATTGGAGCATTAGTATAAACCAACCTTTATGGTTGCATATCTATATGAGTGGGTTCAGTAAAGATCACATACTATCAGGATATTTGGATTAAATTAGCATACCAACAATGAATATAAAACTCTTTATGCAATTTATAATTGTGATGTTGGGGAAATTCTGATTTTTTAAGTGTGAAATTATTATTGTTAATATGCTCGAGCTTTGTTTTCCATTTTATTGAGAGGTATGACAACAACGTGTCATATGTAAATATGTTTTTAAATTGACAATTACAGACTTTGGTCTTGGACTTTCCAAGCTTTTCTCTGGAAGTTTGAAATGGTCTTTAAATACATTAAAATGATAATTTTCAACTGCAAATTGTTAATTGGCCCAAAAGCACAATTCAAGAGTTATCCTGGACATGATCGTATTCATGCAACAGCACCTTGTTGAGTAAACAAGAAACAACACTTTGAAAAGGGTCTAGGCTCGTACCATGGCCAGTGTGAATCAGGTCATTCTAAAAACACTCTTACCATCTCCGAACTTATATTATTTCGATCACAAATACCCTGAGCTAAAAGAGATACACAGAATGTTGACAAGTTTGTAGCCTTGTTATCCTTTAAGAACAAAATCATACAAGAACATTCGTCAAAAGTTACATCATGAATCATTTGGTAAAAAAAGTCAAAGCTAATGAAATACTCATAATTCATTTTAATGGGATATATGGAAGCTATTGTAGATTCTCTTCTTGTCCTCAACTGTAAATCATCATCATTTGATTAGTATTCATTGGCACATAAAATACACCTGCTACTGACTGACTAGTCAACTGTTTGAGTGTTGCATTCTTTCTTACCGTGATGCGCAGTTTCAACCGTTCTCTTTTCATCTCTAAGACTTGCAGATAACTGTTTGGACGAAAGTTGACAATATCCTTATTATCCTTAAGCATCGTATGTTTTCTTGCTTGTTTGTTAACGCCGCACTCAGCAATATTCCAGCTATATGACGGCAGTCTTATCAAAATCGATTCTGGATCAGACAATCCAGTGATTGAAAACATGAGCCTGATCACCCGATCCCGTTAGTCGCCTGTCATGACAAGCATAGTCGCCGCTTACGGAAAGTATGGGTTGCTGAAAATCAATTCTCACAGGAAATTAAGCATCGAGAGTGAAATTATCAACACTATTTTATAGAAAGATTCAATTCTTGGACGTCAATTGCAAACAATGTTTGCTTATTTCGTCTGAGGCCAGCAGATTTGAAAAGTGCACACTATTATACACAACACCAACATAGAAACACTTATTTTTTAGTGTTATCAATATTTTACCTGTTCTTCTTTTTTCTTGGCAACCTTTAGATCTTTAATCTCTTGCTCCATGGCCTTAATTTTGTCATTTAACGCTGTGAAGAAACAGTTTTAAATGTAACGATTTTGGGCGGGATTTGTTTTGTAGCGTCTGTCAGCACATATGAAACGTAAGTTAGATGTCTGCAGAAATTCACATCAACAACACTTAATGAAACTTCATCCCAAAACATGCCGTTTTTTCGCCACTGCGATTTCGGTGAGTCGGCAAAGACCATACAGAAAATATACATTTCAGCATGAGCTTGACCGAGAAAGGATTTTAACCCTTTGCAACAACATATATTTATCTTCAGTTGTCAAGAGTGTATGATTCAGATTCACAGAAGGGATTTTTTACCTGCTACCAAAGATATTCTTTGCAACTTGAAGTGGTAATTAGCCTGCACAATTTAACATTACTTGACCACCAATCGAACTTAAAGAGTCATTTTTCTTACATGTCTGTTGTCCTTCGGGCCATATGTTTATAACGCTGCTAGATGCCGATGTCTGTTCAGAACAAAATCAACGTAGTGTGATGCTACAAAATATTATTTTGAAACACAAGGAACATGCCTATGAATGTTATAAAACATAGTAGTAGTTTTCAGCTTCATACTTTGCAATAGCTTCAAAGCAATATTTGATGACAGCCATCTGTTCGAGACAAACTATGCATTATTATGATTCATAATACATGTCATGTTTGTATAGATATGCATTAATAACAAACGAGACCTGATTAAGAATACATTTCTTTTCCGTATAAGTGTACCTGTTGTTGCCGTTTTAGATCTGTCGCTTTCTTCTCCAATTCCACAACTTTGTCATTCAGGCCTATAAGATAATCACAACATTCAAATGCAAGAATCAGATGTGTAAAAGTAAAAACAGCATGGAAGTGCCAATTACAGTGCCATAAAATGTAAGCAGGATTATTAGGTACGTACATGTACGTTATAACGTCAGCCGATACCCAATATATCCACCATGCGGAATGACAATCTGTTAGAGACGAAGGTATTGTTTTGAAGACACACTTACAATTTCTCAAACAAACTGCCCTTAAGTATCTTGAGAAGGCATGTACCACTTAGGACACATTCTTCCAAATTCACGGATATCCAGTTACCTTTAGGCCTTGTTATTAAATGTAGGAAGATACAGTATGATATCTGACAGCTGTTTACGTGTATCATTTAGACAATGAGTGGTGATGAAAACCCTTCTATTGCCTTAACAGCATTCGGTTATCACAAGACCATCTCCTTAGATCTTGCATTGTAATTTCTTGAAAACAGTGTAGGCTACCACTTGTGAGGATAAGTCATTTTAGTTCTTTTATGAGAGCTTCATTTAAGTTCTCTAATGTTTTGGTTTGTCCTGGTTAATCATCCGGGTTATAGTCAGTGCATGGACAAGCACGTGGACGTAAGCAGAATGACATGAACTTGTGTAGGGTGTAAATGGCCCATAAAATTTGTAAGTATTAACAATATATTTAAGGAACAACATGTAAATCATAACTAGCAATGCTATAACAAATGTAAATGGTGTAAAAGGGTAAATTGCATGTTGAGAAGGTTGAAGTGTGTATCACAGATGTTTCGTTTAAAATCCGGAAAATAATGTTGAAAATAACATAACATGTACTTACTACCTTAGTTACAAGTTGTAATATTTCCCATTTGTTTTTATTATAGCTTGTACCTGTCAACAATAGGCCTTACAATCAAAGGGCCAGCAAAGGAATTTGAAGGAAAGACATTATACAAAATATCTGTCAATGATTCAAGACTGAATCAAAATGTATTCATCAATCTATGCTGAAGTTATAAAATAAACCATTCAAGACAGTGTACTGTAATCCACATTAATACGTTTGATACATCACAACATTTAAAACGCCCGACTCTGGTTTTAATGGTAGGTATTCCTTGGGGATCTGATGTTTAATGTGTAATGTTTTCTGAGGGAAGATGATCACCAAAACGTAGCAATCAGCACGTGAATTGCATGGTGCATGACATTTGCAGATTGCAGTATCTTCTTAAGCTCAACATCGCCTATAAAAGATGTTCTCTGACAGCCCAGTTTATTGTAACCCACAATGCCGGGTAGACGATTGTCAGAAGCAGTCAAGTGGCAGATTATTGGCCTTCATGGAGCAGGTCTTTCGTTCAAGGCGATTGGCAGAAGAACCGGACATCACTACTCAACAATAAGCCGTTTGGTCAGAAAACACGCACAAACTAATGATGTAAGGAATCGCAGACCCTCTGGCAGACCACGTAAGACCACAGTTAGAGATGACAGAGCGTTGTTGAGGGTGGTAAGGCGTCATCCATTTGCTACAAGCACAACCTTGAAACGTCTTTGGCTTCCTCGTCAACAGTTCAGTACCCAGACCGTGAGAAATCGTCTTAAAGCTGCAGGGTTGAAGTCCACAAGGGTTATCAAGCGACCTAAACTCACAGACAACCACAAACGACTACGTATAGCCTGGTGTAGACTGAGACAGAACTGGAACTTGAGGTCCTGGAGAAGAGTCCACTGGTCGGACGAAAGTAGGTTCCTTCTGCATGTTGTGGATGGCAGAGTGAGAGTATGGAGGCGTCCTGGAACAGCTTATACTGCAAGAAACATCATGCCAACTGTACCATATGGAGGTGGATCTGTTATGGTCTGGGGATGCTTCTCATTTGATTGTAAGCTTGATTTAGTGACCATACGAGGCAACTTGACAGGGGAGCGCTACATCCAAGAGGTGCTGAATCCAGTTGTGGTGCCCCATTTTGACAATCATCCACTGGCCACCAGACCGATATTCATGGATGACAATGCCAGACCACATCGTTCACGAGCTGTGACCCAGGTTATCCACAACAATGCTCTGACGCAGATTCCATGGCCAGCAATGAGTCCAGATCTGAATCCTCTGGAACATGTATGGGACATTTTGGGACGCCTGATTTATCGTCGGGACCCTCCTCCACAGAACGTGCGTGAATTGGAAGCAGCATTACACGAGGAGTGGCAGCAGCTGCCCATGGAGCGATTCCAACGTCTGGTGAGGAGTATGAGACGAAGACTTCAAGCTGTGATCCAAGTGCTTGGTGGAAGTTCTCGATATTGACTTACTGTGTTCGTCAAATCTCCATATGACATTCTTACCCTATTGGATGAATTTGGTCACTAAAAATTATTGAGATGTCACCATACTTAATGCGTCTTCGTTGTTCGTTCATTTTTCGTAAAAGTTCAGCATGAGATTATTACATGCCATAAGGCCATGGAATACCCCATTTAAGTTCATTGTATAGACAATACACTGGTTTGTTGGTATACACGAAATCCTGGTTATAATATTAATTCGGTTATCTTTACACCCTTTCAAAACACCCCTCCATAAAAAAGGAAAGGGGGGTGCAACACTTTTTTTACTGTGTATATATTTATCTGCAGTTGTCAAGAGTGTATGATTCAGATTCACCTGCTACCTGCTACCAAAGTTATTCTTTGCAACTTGAAGTAGTAATTAGCCTGCACAATTTATCATCAATTGACCACCAATCGAACTTAAAGAGTCATTTTTCTTACTTGTCTGTTGTCCTTCGGGCCATATGTTTTTAACGCTGCTAGATGCCGATGTCTGTTCAGAACAAAATCAACATAGTGTGATGCTACAAAATATCATTTTGAAACACAAGGAACATGCCTATGAATGTTATAAAACATAGTAGTAGTTTTCAGCTTCATGCTTTGCAATAGCTTCAAAGCAATATTTGATGACAGTCATCTGTTCGAGACAAACTATGCATTATTATGATTCATAATACATTTTGTATAGTCATGTTTGTATAGATATGCATTAATAACAAACGAGACCTGATTAAGAATACATTTCTTGTCCGTATAAGTGTACCTGTTGTTGCCGTTTTAGATCTGTCACTTTCTTCTCCATTTCCACAACTTTGTCATTCAGTCCTATAAGATAATCACAACATTCAAATGCAAGAATCGGATGTGTAAAAGTGAAAACAGCATGAAAGTGCCAGTTACAGTGCCATAAAATGTAAGCAGGATTATTAGGTACGTACATGTACATGTACGTTATAACGTCAGGTGATACCCAATATATCCACCATGCGGAATGACAATCTGTTAGAGACGAAGGTATTGTTTTGAAGACACACTTACAATTTCTTAAACAAACTTCCCTTAAGTATCTTGAGAAGGCATGTACCACTTAGGACACATTCTTCCAACTTCACGGATATCCAGTTACCTTTAGGCCTTAATATTACATGTAGGAAGATACAGTATGATATCTGACAGCTGTTTACGTGTATCATTTAGACAATGAGCGGTGATGAAAACCCTTCTATTGCCTTAACAGCATTCGGTTATCACAAGACCATCTCCTTAGATCTTGCATTGTAATTTCTTGAAAACAGTGTAGACTGAACATGGTACGGTGACAAACGCATTTGTATCCGCGTATGCAACATGTCTCGCTTTCTTATGGAGTATATAGACAATTCCCATACGTCAGGTGTTTACTTCTAGAAGTGTTTATCTGCGTTTTATCATGTATCTTTTGGCTTGTGTGTTTGTAGTTACGTTTACATGGTTATGCATATAGATTAGAAATGCCTATAACCTTACACAAAAGAATAACACGTGAGCATATAAACAACATATCTAGCAAAATGGCCAATTTGTATTACATATTAACTATAAGGTCCTCTTGTAGATGTTCCTGAAGGTGTACTTTAGAAAACAAGCATTAATTTGCGTACGAAATCATGCAGATTGTTTTTACCATTTATCAAATTTCGCCAGAAAAGTAAATGTTATCACATCCTTTGTCAAGCACTTGGTAATAAGATTACGTTTACCTTTTAATCATCATTTCGGTATAACATTTTAATTTTGAAAAGGTGGGATGTTCAAGGTCAGATGTTATCTTAAATGAAATCGCTCATTACTAAAATACGAATAACCCTTTGTCACTAACGAACTACGAATTAAATTAGGAACTCTTGGATTGACTTCAAAATGTAGTTTTCGAAATCTGAAGAGGAAGATTATTAAAATGTAAAACCGATGTTAAAAGCAAAGTAACAGCTTTTGTAACTATGTAATTAATTTTATCACCTTGTTGTGCAGATTCAGCCTTTTCTTTTTCAAGTCGAAGATTTGCGGATATCTGTGGGGGAAAAAGTTTAGAAAAGCATTATCTTGTGTTGTCATCAGTTTACTTTACTACATATCATAGTTTTCTATTCCACACAAGGAAAAAAACAATAAAAGTAAATCACTCTTTTTACACTAAAACGTGTAACAATCCACACTGCTACGTGACAATCTCTAATACGCAATATTTGTTGGGCAGTATTATGATGAACATGGCGCATACAAGATCATGTAAAATAACAATACAGTCTATACCCAGTACAAAGAGATCCCAATCTGGGACATGTGATGCAGAATGTGTTTATGAGTAGAGTATGTAAAGTTTACCTGTTCTTCATTTTTCTTGGCCACCTTAAGATCTTTAATCATTTGCTCCATGGCCTTAATTTTGTCATTCAGCGCTGTAAAGAAACAGTTTTAAAGGACACGATTTTGGGCGGGATTTGTTTTGTAGCGTCTGTCAGCACATATGAAACGTAAGTAAGATGTCTGCAGAAATTCACATCAACAACACTTATCAAACTTCATCCAAAAACATGCCGTTATTTCGCCACTGCGATTTCGGTGAGAGTCGGCAAAGACCATACAGAAAATATACATTTCAGCATGAGCTTGACCGAGAAAGGATTTTTACCCTTTGCAACAACATAGATTTATCTTCGGTTGTCAAGAGTGTATGATTCAGATTCACAGAAGGGATTTTTTACCTGCTACCAAAGTTATTCTTTGCAACTTGAAGTAGTATGTAGCCTGCACAATTTAACATTACTTGACCACCAATCGAACTTAAAGAGTCATTTTTCTTACATGTCTGTTGTCCTTCGGGCCATATGTTTATAACGCTGCTAGATGCCGATGTCTGTTCAGAACAAAATCAACGTAGTGTGATGCTACAAAATATTATTTTGAAACACAAGGAACATGCCTATGAATGTTATAAAACATAGTAGTAGTTTTCAGCTTCATACTTTGCAATAGCTTCAAAGCAATATTTGATGACAGTCATCTGTTCGAGACAAACTATGCATTCTTATGATTCATAATACATGTCATGTTTGTATAGCTATGCATTAATAACAAACGAGACCTGATTAAGAATACATTTCTTTTCCGTATAAGTGTACCTGTTGTTGCCGTTTTAGATCTGTCGCTTTCTTCTCCAATTCCATAACTTTCTCATTCAGTCCTATAAGATAATCACAACATTAAAATGCAAGTATCAGATGTGTAAAAGTGAAAACAGCATGAAAGTGCCAATTACAGTGCCATAAAATGTAAGCAGGATTATTAGGTACGTACATGTACGTTATAACGTCAGCTGATACCCAATATATCCACCATGTGGAATGACAATCTGTTAGAGACGAAGGAATTGTTTTGAAGACACACTTACAATTTCTTAAACAAACTTCCCTTAAGTATCTTGAGAAGGCATGTACCACTTAGGAAACGTTCTTCCAACTTCTCGGATATCCAGTTACCTTTAGGCCTTAATATTACATGTAGGAAGATACAGTATGATATCTGACAGCTGTTTACGTGTATCATTTAGACAATGAGTGGTGATGAAAACCCTTCTATTGCCTTAACAGCATTCAGTTATCACAAGACCATCTCCTTAGATCTTGCATTGTAATTTCTTGAAAACAGTGTAGATGTTAAAAGCACAGTAACAGCTTTTGTGACTATGTAATTAATTTTATCACCTCGTTGTGCAGATTCAGCCTTTTCTTTTTCAAGTCGAAGATTTGCGGATATCTGTGGGAGAAAAAAGTTTAGAATAGCATTATCTTGTGTTGTCATCAGTTTATATTACTACATATCATAGTTTTCTATTCCACTCAAGGAAAAAAACAATAAAAGTAAATCACTCTTTTTACACTAAAACGTGTAACAATCCACACTGCTACGTGACAATCTCTAATACGCAATATTTGTTGGGCAGTATTATGATGAACATGGCGCATACAAGATCATGTAAAATAACAATACAGTCTATACCCAGTACAAAGAGATCCCAATCAGGGACATGTGATGCAGAACGTGTTTATGAGTAGAGTATGTAAAGTTTACCTGTTCTTCATTTTTCTTGGCCACCTTAAGATCTTTAATCTCTTGCTCCATGGCCTTAATTTTGTCATTCAGCGCTGTAAAGAAACAGTTTTAAAGGACACGATTTTGGGCGGGATTTGTTTTGTAGCGTCTGTCAGCACATATGAAACGTAAGTTAGATGTCTGCAAAATTCACAAGTCATCAACAATACTTATGAAACTTCATCCAAAAACATGCCGTTATTTCGCCACTGCGATTTCGGTGAGAGTCGGTCAAGGCAATACAGAAAATATACATTTCAGCATGAGCTTGACCGAAAAAGGATTTTAACCCTTTGCAAGAACATATATTTATCTTCAGTTGTCAAGAGTGTATGATTCAGATTCTTAGAAGGGATTTTTTACCTGCCACCAAAGTTATTCTTTGCAACTTGAAGCAGTAATTACCCTGCACAATTTATCATCACTTGACCACCAATCGAACTTAAAGGGGCACTGATCTAACGGACTGGTTGTTGCCTTGTTTTTCCCCCGTGAGTACCCGGATGATACGCATCGCAACTGAGCGTGACCAGAGACTTGGGTACCGTCTGCAAGGACAGCTAAATAAACTTGGAGGCTGGAGGCAATATTTGTTTTACGCATTTTTGAACACTGATTGGTTAACTGTGATCTATAAAGATTTCGACAAAGGGCGCATGTTAATTCATTTCTTCAGCCTAAACAAACAGACAAAAAGAACAAGGGAGCTCATCGGATGTCGTCATTTGGAAATACCCCAGATGGTTATAGTTAAATTCTAAAAACAGTATCCATGCAGTGAAAGCATTTTCAGATTTCGGCTTGCGTCGATAATACGATTACTACTCCCTTGTTGTCATCCACGTTTTCTCGTATAACCCTACACTTGTGTATTTGTCGTCATTCACTTGATGCTCAGTTAATGAATTTATTACAGGTACAATTAGTGGTAGCACCACTTATATTACCTGACAAAGGTTCCCATTTGGCATTTATTGTGTCTGGGGTAATTATTCAATCTAAATCCAGGTTTGAAGTGAGGTGAAATGTGTGTTATGTAATACGCACGTGGCAGTCCAGCAAGAGATGAATGATCAGTTGATTTCCATTTTTTTGTAAATCAACGGATCGTTCCTAGTCATCAAAGGATTAACAGAAAATACGTTGATTGATTAATCACTGTTATCTTGCACAGTGGATATGTCAAGAGTGAGTGTTTACATGTCTAGGTTTACTAAAACAAAGGGAATACACTCATATCATGGCGAGAAGTGCCGATGTAAAAACAACATACTTTGTTCAAAGGATTAACTGATAATACGTTGATTGATTGATCATTGTTATCTATCACTCAATGGAATTTTTAGGAACCGTGGACGCTATGAAAATAGTTGTCACGTGGGCTTTCTCAGCCGACCATTGAGACTTGACACCTATGTAAAACACCTGAAACAATCCAAGGGATCAGTTGAGAAACGAACACAGATTATAATATCCCGAAACGATATATATCTTTTAAAATATTTGATTGTTACTGAGACACGTGACATCGAATAAGTTTCTTTGTACAGCTGCAGACGAGTGGGATATTGTTCCTTTGTGTGGATATTCACGGATACATTCCTCGAACAAGGAAGCTGCCTAAAACTTATACACATAAATTTGGTAGGTTGTAATTATGATATCTGCATTTTGTTTTCCAGACCTTCATTTGAACCGATTCGTTCTTGTTTCCCTACGTCTTGGTTGGGAAATTCTTCAATGCGCGATAGTCGTTGTCACAGGTCTTTTCCTTTGTAAGCGTGTATATATTACCGTCAATTTGTAAAATGTGATTCTCTCAGGCAATTTATAAAATGTGTAAATATTTCAGTCATTTTGACTAAAAAATCTGTCCAGATTGATCAAGACGATCAAAAGGGCCTACACACATCACAACAGATTATTATGTAGGATTAAAAGCAAAACAACTTAGAATGTACTTTTCAACGTTACATTTTCAGTCTCTTGGTGATGACATTAAACATCAAAATGTTTGGAATTCGTTGTCATAATAATACAGATGGAAATGTTTTTCAGTCACTTTATAAAAAAACAGAATATTTAGACGTTTAATAAATGTGTTACACATTTGACAGTAAAAAAATATACACACTATAAAAAAGCATATGCTCAGGTGAAATATATACTTTGTGTTGCAAGTCAAAATAGTGTAAACGAAAATCGCAAAATTACCAAGCAAGTGACTTATCAAAACTTCGTCACCATTACCGATGCTACCCACAAAGATACCTACATTTCTTTATTATCTCGAAAACTGTATTTCATTTTGTTGATCAATGTGACCATACGCCCTTATTACTACCCATAAAAGTGACTAATGCGCTTAAGAATGGCGCAGCAGAGGTCGCGAACTAGTCTAGATTTCTGCTATACATCCGGGTCCTCACTGGGAAAAAACAATAACAAAGGCAACAAACAGTCCCGGGGAATTGCGTTAGATCAGTGCCCCTTTAAAGAGTCATTTTTTTTGGTATGATGTTTTGAGCGCCAACGACCTTGAAGGTCGATAGGGGCAGAATGGAAAATTTCAAGTGTGACTTTTTGTGATTAGTAGTGCGTAATACCGCCATGATTTGTCAAACATTCATTCACTCGACCAGGCATAAGGCGTATTAGTCTCCCAATGGAGATTTAAGCGAGTCTGTCCCACTATTCTTGCAGCTCCTGGCCAAGTTCAGATAACGTGGTCGGCGGCCTTTAAAGTTGACGCACGCGTCTCCTTATCATGTCCTAGACGTGTTAAATAGGCGAAAGGTCTAGGCTCATTGCTGGCCATGGCATTCTATAGATGTGCTGCTGGAGATGGGTATAAACGATTTGTGCACGGAAAGACAAACCGAACAAAAAAAAAGGTGTCAGTATTGTGTCCCGATGATACTGTACAGTGGCCCTTCCTTGCACAATATGGAGTGGGGTTTGCTCAGTCTCCCATCCACCCACAAATCATAACCGATCCAAGCCAAATCTGTCATGAGGACTCAGATTGACATTAGCTTAACCTTCATCTCATAGACAACCACACCTATCAAGGAGGCACAAAATGAAACGGGACGCATCTGAAAAATGACACGTGACCAGCGACAATTACCAAAGTGAAGACGCTGTGTACACGACGTGCTTCTGTTGTTTAATATGCTGATTTGTAAGGGGCGGCACAACACCTGGCCGGCGAGCATGGAAATGAGCTGAATGAAAATGATTTCTAATCGTCTCTCCCGTAACCCGTACTCTTGTAGTCTGATGAAAGTTTGCATCAATTTGATTCGACGTTTGACCTCGATTTCGTAAGGCCTGGTATCGGATCAATCGATCCTGTACTCTTTTTTGTTGACCTGGGACTTCCTGAACGGGGTGGTTCGTCAACATGTTTTTTTTTTGTTTCCTGTTCCATAGTCTGCTAATCACAGATTATGAAACATTCTGCCAGATGTCTGCCAGTTTCCAGCATGGCCACACCCCGTTCTCGCTTTGCGCGTTGCAGACGCCTCATCGCTAGTTTATCACAAGCAAGAAAGAAATCAAGTAATACAAAATCAAGAATGACATCCTGCGCACGTGTGTAGTGCTACTACATGCATCACGTGCAAAATAAAGGCTGTGCTTTGGTGTTTAAGGTTTACATACATAAACGTTCTTGCATAGGATGTTTGTCGTCAACATACCTTTAGAGGTTCAGATCGATTTGTCCAAAAGGAAAGCAAATTTCATCTAAAGTTTACTGAGGAAACAATATGTGAAATGATGGATGACCTCATTGATAATATCCATGCGAAATTCGTGCAAGAAGAAGGTACCAGTACTCTCCTTCCTAGTGATTAGTTTCTTTATGCATATAAATCATTATTTTTGCTCGGGTTTGCAAAATCAAAGCAAGAAAATTTGGCCAAGAAGTTGAAGTTCAGCTTTAGGCATATCGATGATCAGATACCATTCAATAATGGTCAAATAGCCAATCCCCTTCCATTGATATACCTATCTGGAATAGAAATAAATGAAACCAGAGACAGAAGTGACTCATCTGTTTCATAGTTAGATTCCTTCATAAAGATTCAGAGTGACAAAACACTCCCCACAAGACTGTATGACAAGACGGATAACTGCATATTTCCAATTGTCAACTTTCTCTTTATGTCAAGCACTTTTCTAGCAGCCCCAGCCTTTGGTGTCTACATTTGAAACTTTTGAGGTGCAACCAAGCATGTTTGAAGATCCACAAAGATTTCAGAGAGCATCATACAGCTCTTGCTCAAAGGCTCAAATTCACAACATTTAAGGCGTCAGTAAAACTAAAACTTGTTACAGAGATGTGGAGCATATTCAAGCATCTGTGACAAGAAATGATGTCCGATGCAAATCCCTATTTTGACTTGTACCATATGTTCCCGTGAACATTTCAGAGAATATTTTGGTAATTGATACATCGATGCTGTATTCGTCATTTATACTTATATATGTTATTTCGCATTACCTTCCATTCCATTCAATTATACTGTTCTGATATGGCAAGATTCATGTACTGAAATTTACAATTTAGTGATACCAAATCTATCAAAAACATAAAATGGAAATTTCACAACTTTTTTTTATACTTTTATTGGGATTGTTAAGTAACTAGTTGTAATTGTTCAATCTTACCAACGTTTGCAGCTTCAACCCTTTGCTTTTCATCCCTGAGGCCTGCAACTATCTGTTGTGACGAAGATTTGTTTTCATGGTGTTAGCATCATAATACTTGAACACAAGTAATAATTTACGTTTTTACTATTACAATCGAACAAACACAAACAAAACATTAATATGTGTACACATACTTACCTCTTCTTGCTGTGTTTGTTCAAGTTTAAGATCTGCTATCAACTTCTCTAAAGCCTTCAGTTTGACTGTTCGTTCAGTCAGATCTATAAAATAATTACAGTTCAAATTACAAAATAATCTTCAAATCACACGTGCAAAGTGCAAACAGATCAAAATTGGGGGAAAAAAGGAAAATATGTGTTGAGCCCCACTACTAACCACACATATACCTAAATTACATAACAGTGGCTCAGTAATGGTCATGGGAAGTTTCAGTTTTCAGTATGGTCAAAACGCAAAGGTCAAAATAAAGGTCAGCGTTTGCGAGATCGCGACAAACTGAGCACATGTGTTGACACCTTCCACGAACGACACATTTCATTTTAGACACAATCATAAGTCAATAATGTCCATTAAGAGCCTTTCCAATTTAGCTGCCGTGGTGGCCATTTTGACATTTGGATTCGGACATGTTGAAAAAATTAGGGTGTCACCATGAATGGGAATAGACATGTGAAGTTTCTGAGGAGATAATGTTTACAGTGTGAGCAAATGCATTTTGAGAGAATTCAGGCCTATGGGCGAAGTGCAAAGGTCAAATAAAGGTCATCGGGAGATCTCGAAAAACGGGACATGGGTCTGGAATCCCACTACTGCCTACACATATGCACATTTTCATTATATTTTGAATGTAAAATACCTGAGAAAAGTAAATACATATTTTTACCCATGGCAGACATATTTAAAATGGGGTCCAAACCTCTTCAACAAACTGGGATGTCATCTTTGGTGGGAACAGGTATGTGGAGTATCTGTTTCATTAGGCCAGTTATTTCTGAGGAGGAGATGTTTACGACTGGCTATGTACTTACTTGGCCTTCAGTGAGATGAGCTAAAACGCATTACCTTCCATTCCATTCCATCACGCTTTACTGATATGGCAAGATTCATGTACTGAATTTTACAATTTAGTGATACCAAATCTATGAAAAACATAAAATGGAAATTTCACAACCTTTTTATATTTCTATTGGGATTGTTAAGTAACTAGTTGTAATTTTCAACCTTACCAACGTTTGCAGCTTCAACCCTTTGCTTTTCATCCCTGAGGCCTGCAACTATCTGTTGTGACGAAGATTTGTTTTCATGGTATTAGCATCATAATACTAGAACACTAGTAATAATTTACGTTTTTACTATTACAATCGAACAAACACAAACAAAACATTAATATGTGTACACATACTTACCTCTTCTTGCTGTGTTATTTCAAGTTCAAGATCTGCTATCAACTTCTCTAAAGCCTTCAGTTCGACTGTTTGTTCTATAAACATAAGTACCTTAAGCCATAAGTTTGTCAGTCAGATCTATAAAATAATTACAGTTCTAATTTAAACGAGTGCATGCAATTCATCAACAATGTGATGTGATGGTAAATATATACATACACCAAACTCATCCACATCCTTTCCATCAACTATGAACTAGCAATAGTTTTTCCAATCATCACGCCTATGTGTACCAGTAGTATAGGTAATAGGGGTTCTGCCGCAACTCCACTGGAGCAGGATTCATATACCTATACCACCACTACAGAGGGAATTTTTTATGCCAAAATGACTATGCGATTTAACGATAGTCATGAGATTGACTCCAGCTCACCAATACCTGGGGCCAATCATTGCTTTAGATGAGTCTAAATGGTAATAAAAAATATTCTTTATTATTTTTATCGATAAAGCGATATTCAACATTTTTATTAAGTTCTTCGTTCATTTTACTAGGAGACCAGACTATATAACTACACTCTTTTTGTAAATTGATAAGAAACAATTGATAACCGTATTTGGTTGGTTTGACATCACTGATATAATAAAAACCTTGTGGTAATTCTCTCCATTGAATAGCTTTCTCCATTATTATATATGTATGTAAGCATTTGTCTAAATGTGATCAAACGATAGTAAGCAATCTATTTTTAATCTCCAACCAGTTCTTTGGTTTTGGCACGGAATAATTGACGCGCTTGTTGCCTCCCCTGTTCTATGAACTTTTTTTTCTCGTCTTCGCTAATACCACTGGTCTTACGAGATTTTGATCGAATCTCCTGCTTCATTTCGTTGTATTTGGTGAGTTCCGACAGCACTAAACGAAACTCATCCTCGGATATCTTACAATCGGCCAATGCTGTCGAAATATGATCCTCAATGCTGTTCAACTTTGCTTCGGCGAGTATCCGAATACTATCGTGTTTTAATGCTTTCTTTTGCAACCTACGAGAAATGAATTTTATCGCTATTCCTGCCAGTCCCGAGACTCCAGCGGCTATTTCCATGCCGAGCACGATAGGCGCGGCGATTATAGTTGATAGTAAACCGATACCCGCTCGACCGAGTCCCATGCCAGATACTACAAGAGCGGTGTCAACTCCGTCCAGAGCATTCACGACTCTGCGATACTTTTTATACAATCCAAGTCTCAACTCCCTATCCTTCCCTATTCGATGTTTTATGTCGCTTATTTGATGTAATCGAAATCCATCAACAGTTTCCATCTTTTCAAATGCTTCACCGAGCGCCGGATATAAACTCATAGTGTATATTACGATCATATAATAGTCTTTAATTGGTCTTGCTTAAATGTTTTGAGACTATACATCAACCTTATCAAATGTATATTATTCGGCAAGAATATCTTAGTAAGAGAAATGCTGTCACTTTTAATAATTTGAACCCCCTCGAGGGTTGCAACGGGCGATGCTCCGATATGAATAATACTGCAACGTTGACGCTCGTGTTTCTTGAGCCATTTAATCGATAGACCTGGTAATATGTTGAAGGCATCTTCCGGTGCCTCTCCGAACAAGACTTCAATAATAAGCGTAGAAATATTAGGTATTGCACTCAGGTTCTGTTTAATTTCTTCGAATTCAGTAATCAAATTTAAAGTAACATTTTTTAAGGACGGACGACTATATAACATATGACCTGGGTTTTCTGACAGGGGAGTGACCAACACACTTTTTCGTTTTGATGGGATATAAGCCGCGAGTACGATGCCACTATTTATTATCTTAGTTAAATTATGTTCCTTACCAATCATCACATAAGGTGGGGTAATGACGATATTCAATAGCCACTCGATGTTTGCTTCGACCATAGTCCATTTTTTATCGTCGTTGCGAGTAATATTGTACGAAGTGTTTTTAAGGAGTCTACTAACATTGACATCGCTAAAATCTCCTAGATTACCCGTGAATGTGACTTCTTTCCGATTGTATACATTATCGTGTAAGTGTAAAGCGTATAACTTACCATTGGTACCGGGTTTATCAAATCCTTCCGTGTCTCCGAGATCGGAAAGCGCAATTGTATTACATTTTCTTACTGTTCCAGGGCCTGATGCATCAACCATTATTTTTAATATGGAGTGTTACACTTAAGTATCCTATATGTACAGGTTGGTGTTTTACATCTAATACAGAAATTTTAAGGTCTGAAATAATACCCCGCTTCAATTTTTTATATTGTAATGACGAGAAAGATTCCGTTCTACCGCTATTATATTTTTCATTTTTCACTGGAACACTTCTGAGCAGAGTTGAAGGACTTTCTAGTTGAATATTATCCGTCGTGCTTATTTGATCAAGATGGATGAACAACTCTTTATAGGGAACTAAATCAGGTAATTTAACCTCCTGATCTGGTAACTTGTTAATTGTACCAACTAAGCGTGTAAATTCAAGTGTAGGTGATGGGTCCAATAAAATTACAGTTTCTTCATGGTCGAATTTCACTGTCCCAGTCGCATCATTTTGTGTGAGACTAATTCCATTAGGCTTAAAAATTTCATCATTGAGTGAGCTTACGCTGTAATACCCATCAGGTATAGTAATGGATTTGCTATTACCATATGAATTTAATATCATTATCCTATTATTATCTTTTGCAGCATTTATATTGGTCCACCTCGGGTAATACGTTACATGAGTTTTTCACTACCCCTGTTTTCACCTGGTATAATCATCTTATTATTTCTTCTCGCAGCATTTATATTGGTCCACAGTGGGTAATACGTTACATCGCATAGAGCTACTTCGAGTTGTCCATCCGAGTTATCGATAGTATGAAGCAGTTCAATAGACTGACCATTTGTTATTCCAGGTAGTGTAACATACATATTAAATATACAATGATACTATATCATAACTTAAACATGAAATCAACTCACATTACTAATCAATCGATTATAGTAACTGCCTCTGGTGCTGAATTTTTCGTTAAATTCCACGATATCTTTGAAAAATACAGTTTCACGGCAACTAACGATAAAATGATTGACGATTGGTTTAACCGTCCGATGCAATTTTGGCAGAATCAGTTAAACTTTGCCGTATGGTGTGCCACAACGGGATGTGGCGTATCTGTTAATGTCCCAGGATTTAAACTATATAAGTCTGTTATATTATTTCACGTGTACTATCAGATTAGACGTATACTTAAAGAAATTAGTGCTCCATTACCGATGGATCCAGCATGGAATCATGCAAATAATCATTATAATAAGAGGGCCTTCGAACGTATTTGTAATGAATTTAATGTTTCTACGAGTAAAGATTGGCGCATTAAAGGACCTAGCCATGGTCTAGGTATTCCGTACAATGGACAAAGAACTATTAAAGATAAAAGCGATTATTTAATTAAAGCGGGTGTGATCCCTTCAGGCTTTGCTCTCTCGAGTAAACAGTTTAGAGCAGATCGTATGAACTTTGAGAACAAAGTTTGTGCATCCAAACGATACAACAGATGCTTGGAATGAATTTCTTAATGATAAAACGGAAAATAATTTTACTAACCCAGGATTTGAAAGAGTTAATGAATCGATAAGAACTTATGTGTGGGCAATTCTCGGAGCACAATCGCAAACACGAACATCCATTATCGGTACTGGGACGGCGTTCGATGCGCAAAAACAGTTTGTCTCAAACGTGGAGGACGCCATTAATTCACCAGTTGACATACCATCGTCTATAAAGCGTTTTCAAGATGCATTACAGTACGCTCAATCCAAAGTGGACTACGTTTATGCGCCGGGACTATACATGTCTCCGAGTAATATGGAACTTAAGATCGGTCAAGTGATAGGCTATAATAATAAAATTGTTATCGCTACCGATCAACAAAAACCAGGTATAAATTCAGATATTAACGTCGAATTAATAACGCAAACGATCACGGGTGAAAAGGGAATAATCAAGCCACAAACACCACATGTTTCACAACCATCTACTAACGCACAAGTGCCACCGCATATTGAGGCTAAAAATCAACAACATATTGATGAAAAAACAGCGCTCGTAGTGGGTGGAGTCTCGGTTGGTTTACTCATGATTTGGTTGTTAAATAGTTCTTAGCGAACACGTACAACAGCCCTGCAATTGCTACGATCAACCCCCACAAGTTTTGACTAAGCCAAGTGGTGGTCTTAGCTAATAAATTCAATAGCCAGGAAACTATACTCCCTATTATACCGGGAAGTGCAGCCGCGGCTTTCTCAGCAAGCTTTCCCAGTGCTGAGCCTAATGCTTTTAAATGCTTTTTTATCCACTCTTTTATACCATTTTTATCGCTAGGAGGTGATCCGCCTCCACCTGTACCACCACCTGTTAACGAGAGAGTCAAAGTCGATATAATAAATCCCAACGCGGTTAAAATACTGGCAATTGTTATTCCCTGTTCTCTGAACAATGTTTTAATTTTATCGGCCAGTGTAGTGTCATCGTTGAGGACTTGATCGATAGTTTCTCGAATACGACTGATTTGCGAACGAAGTGCCTTTCTATTACTTGAAGCTGCTTCGAGGCGGGCCGATCTTTCGTCTTCTAAGATACGCAATCTTTCCGCTACGCGGCGTCTACTGAACTCATCGCCCGCCTGTTCGAGTTTTGTTTTCTCTTGAGCTATATGCTTGTCGATTTCGGATATCTTGGCTATATTATTGATGAGTTCTCCCCGCATTGTTCGCATTGCCTTGTCAAGACCTCGTAATTCCCTAATACTGAACTCTGAATATGGTGATACACTGACCGTGGAATTATCGTAATAGGTATCTAAGATTTCTCCGAGTCCGTTCGAGGCCACGTTAGAGGCTTCTTCCAAATCATCTGTATTACTGAGTTCAGTACGCACGGTTCGAAGAACCTTAGTAGTCTTCGCGGAAAGTCGTCGGTAGTCCACAAAACCTAATTTATCACGAACAGTGCCGATGCCGTGTTTAGCAGACAAGGCTAGGGGCTTACGAGTACGAGAATGCATAAGATCAATA